TGGGTTCGAGGCCAGCCTGGTCTACACAGTGAGTTCCAGGACAGCTGGGGCTACAGGGAGACCCTGTCTCAAAAAGACCAAAATAAAATTTTAAAAAATCGTTTTGAGACAGGGTCTCCCTGTACCCCAGCTGGCCTGGAACTCACTATGTAGACCAGGCTGGCCTTGAACTCACTGAGATCTGCCTGCCTCTTCCCCCTGAGTGCTGGGATTAAAGGCATGTGCCCATTATTTTTATTTTTGTGTGTATGAGTGTATGCCTGCATGTATGCAAGTGCACCTGCATCATGCAGTGCTCATGGAGGTCAAAAGGTGGCAGCGGATCCCCTGAAACTGGAGTTACAGGTGGTTGTTAGCCACTACGTGGGTGCTGTGAATAGAACTTGAGTCCTCTGCAAAAGCAGCCGGTGCTCTTTAACTGCTGAGCCATCTCTTCAGTCCCCCAACCTTTTTAATTTTGATTTTTAGACTGTCTCTAAGTTGCCCAGGCTGGCATTTAACTCATTCTTTTGCCCAGGCCACCTTGAATTTGTGATTTTCCTGCCTCTACCTCTCTAGCTGGGATTATAGGCCTCTGCCACCAGACAACACAAATATAAGGTCTTTCCCTTCTTGCAGATGCCTCTTCACCTCCATCTCACGCCAACTGGTCTGTCTTTCTGTCTTTAGGATACACGGGAGTATGAAGTTTCCATCTGAACTCCAAGTCAAATTCTACAGGACCCAGGACCTCCCCTTATCTCCTCATTCTGAGCAGTGAGAAGCATAGGGCCTGGTCTCTGGCTCCTGGCTCCCCTTTCCCCTGCTGTGTAAATAGTCTCCCTATCCCATGAGGGGGCTCTGATGGCTCTGGAGACCCCAGAATAAATAAACCAGCATCCTGCCACCCAAAGCTGCCTCTTCTTAGTTGCCAAACAAGGGGCCTACCCCCCTGCCCTACTGACTTCTGGACCCAGGGAGGGGCACTTAGCCCCTTAAAACTCGGGGCCCCTCCAGCCCAGGGCTCTACTCTCAAGGACTGCCCCCAACAGCTCTACTCTCCCCTTGGCCATGAAGGCACCCCACCCTCAGATACCTGACTGCTGCTGGGCCTTGGAGGGTGAAGAGGAGGAGGAGGGATGAGGGGGAGCTGGGCCAAGGCCCTGCCCCCTTCCTGCATCTCCCCAACCCACAATCTCTCCACCTTTATTTGCTTCTGGATTTTTTTGTTTTTGAGCAATAAACAGAAAATCACCACTTGTAACTGAGCTGGTGAGTGTGGGAAAGTGGGTCACAGGTTGGAGTGTGTTGGAGGGGGTGATGGGGAACACTCTGGAGAGTGGTCTTGGAAAAAAGGAGTTCATGGGGTTGGGGGGATGGAAACTCAAAACTGGGCAGTGTCTCAGGTGCTGGCCTGGAGTACAAAGGGCTAGCTTGAGGCCCGCCCTGTCCCTGTAGAGAACTAGTTGGGACCACCTGCCTCTTCACAGGGCCTTTGCCTTTGCCCGGGGGGGGGGAGAAAGCCACCTTCCTGTTTGCCTCATTAGCAGCTTTCCCCATTTGAGAATGTATCCATGTGTATACCAGATTGTTCTTACTACTGCTGATCTCTTTTGGCTTATTTATTGGCTCTATTTTGTTTTAACTTGTTTGTTAATTTATTTCGAGACAGGGTCTTGCTATGTAGCCCAGGCTGGTCTTAAATTTGAAGTCTGCCTCAGCCTCTCAAGTGCTGAGATTACAATTGTGTGCCACCATGCCTAACTTCTGGACATGTCACCAAGCTTGGGTGCCCTTCTTTTCCATAATGTTACATCTATGTTATAAACAATTTGCGTCCTCTTTGTGGTGCTGAGGATTAACCCCAGGGAGTCACATATAAGCAGGCATTCTACACCCTCAGCTCAATTTATAACCTATTTGTCTAGTTTTTCCTTCAAATGAACTGAATTTTACTAACTTAAAACTGTGTATTTAGGCCAGGCGTGGTGGTACACACCTTTAATCCCAGCACTCAGGAAGCAAAGGCTGGCAGATCTCTGTAAGTTCAAGGCCAGCCTGGTCTACATAGTGAGTTTCAGGCCAGTTGGGACTACAAGGAGACCCTGTCTCAAAAAGCCCAAAAAAAATTCTTGAACATTTTGAGGATGTTTGAGACAATGCTGAAATACTCAAAAGGGACTGAACTTTAGGAGACTACTGGACAAACTGGCCTTGATAATAGCTTAAGTAAACTTGAGCCAGTCTCTGTATTTAACTTTTGTTTGAGATAGGGGTCTATGTAGTCCAGGCTTGCCTAGATCCTCTAAGTGGATACCATCATGCTCAGAAGCACTTTGTATATGTTATGGTTTGTTTTTCTCTTTCTTTTGTTTTTGAGACAGGATAGTGCTACTGTAGCCTATGCTGGCTTGGTACTACAAACTGGAGTCAATCTTCCTGCCTCAGCCCACCGAGTGCTAGAATTATAGCATGTGCCACCACGCCAAGCTTACGTTGTTTTTAACCCTCCTAAGCACCCTGTCAAACTGGAACAATTTATTCCCATACTTTTCAGTTAAAGAAAATGAGGTTTAGAGGTGTGAATGGACTTCCTTAGAGGGCCAAAGAAGTGGCAAAACTGGGAATGAAACACAAATTCCACAAAGCATTCTGTACTGCCTTCTGCCTAGTAATGGCTGTGACAGAGGGAGAAGCAGTGGTTCAGGGTCCTCAACACCCAGGTAATGGAGGAGGCTCTCTTGAGGAGTAAGAGTGGACCTCCTGGATGCCACACCTAGCCAGAATGTGCTAGAGTTTGGCTGGGAGAATGGATTTGGATCCATAAACTCACCTTTGCCAACTGGATTCCAGTAACATGCCCACATGTACTCAATCCACCTCTGGGAAGAAAGGATACCCCCAACTCCAGAAGCCACACCAGAGTACTACCCAAGTTTGAGTGAGGGGAGGATCCCTGGCTCTTTATTAAAACCTTTTCTCCCAGTGGTGTGCTTGCCCATGGAGGGTGGAGAGTCCTGCAATGGTTCCAGAAGACTTTGTTGGCTTCAGAGGTGGCATTACTTATGACCAGGAGCTCCCCGCCAAAGATGAAGTGTTTAACTAGTTGCAAAAGAAGGGCTTTGAGGCTTTCTCTGAGGGACAAAGAGGGAGAGGGCAAGAGGTCAAGAGCTGCACCAAAGAGGGTTGCTCATCCTCCATTTGTCAGGTTGTTGGGAAGTGTTCCCTGGAAGAAAGTAAGTGCTTTTGAATATTTATAGCTGAGGCTCTTGACATGCTATCCTTCTACCCTTTACCCAGCCATACAAGCCACATACTGCCCTTCCATGTATCCACCACTCCTCACTGATCCGTTAATCCATTTCTCCATGTACGTACCATCATATCCTCCATCTATCCATTCACAGAGCTTTCCATCATTCCTTACCCATCCTTCAACTCCATCCATCTGCTCATCCATCCATCACTCATCCACCTGCTCCCCCACACTCATCTCTCCCATCGAATCACTCATCCCCATTTAAGCTTCTTGAAAGCAGGAACTTTATTTTGTTCACTCACTGCTGTACTCCAGGATGGTGTTGGCACACAGTAAGTGCTTAGCATAGGTTCAGTCAATGCATTCGCCCATCCACCCATTTACCTGCTTACCTGCTACTCTTCCAACCTTGCCTTGATATGTAAAGTGGAGAGCAATTCAGAAAGATACCCAGTGCCAGTCTCTGACCTCCACATATATGCACAAGTGCAGTGTAGTTACACAAATGGGTCATCCACACACGAGAGCATGCATATACATATGCATGTACACCACTCATCTATCTTCCATCTAACTTTTTGTCTATTTTTAAATTTTTTTCACATTTCTTTGTCTATATTAGTGTGTATGTACAAGAGAGGGAGAGAGAGAGGGGGGGGAAAGGGGAGGGGAAAGAGGTGTGAGGTGTGTGCATGTGCTGGTCAGAGGACAACTTTTGGGAATCTGTTCTCTTTTTTCTACCTTTACATGGGTTCTGGGGATTGAACTCAGGACATCAAGCTTGCATAGCAAGAACCTTGACCTTGCTGAGCTGTCGCACCAGGCTTTTTTTTTTTTTTTTGGGCAGACTCTCAAGTAGCTCAGGTTGGCCTCCAATGCACTATATAACCAAGGCTGGTCGTGAACTCCAGATCCTCCTGCCTTCACTTCTCAAGTGCTTTCATTACAGGTGTGTGCCACCATACACACCTTGTTTTTACTTCCAAAGAGTCTCTGGGCTGAGGAAATAACTCAATCAGGGGATTCCCAGGACATGCTGGCTAGCCAGACAACCAGAATTGGTGAGCTCTGAGTTCAAGTGAGATACCATGCCTTGATATGTAAAATGGAGAGCAATTCAGAAAGACACCCAGTGCCAATCTCTGGCCTCCACATATACACGCACATGTGCACTGTACTTACACACATGGGTGCATCCACACACAACAGCATGCATATACACATGCATGTACACCACATACAAATTTAGGTGGGGGTAGTGTGGCATGCCTAGGGCCCAGGCCTGGGTTCTGTCCCCTAGCACTGTCCATACAAAAAAAAAATTAGCCTGGGCATGATGGTACATATATGTCTCAATCCCAGCACTCAGGAGGCTGAGGCAGGAGGATCATAAATTGAAAGGCAGCCTGTGAGATTTTCTCTTTCTCTCTCTTCCTCCCTCCCTTTTGTATGTGTAGATGTGTGTAAGGGGAGTTTGCATGGAGATGCATGTGTGCAAATAAGAGATCAGCTTCAAGTGTCATTCCTCAGGAACCTTCCACTTTTTAAAAATATTTTTATTATTTTTAATTTATGTGTAAGTGCACTTGTGTCACGCAATTCCAGTGGAGGTCAGAAGACATTGGATTCCCAGGAACTGGAGTTACAGGTAGTTGTTAGCCATCATGTGGGTACTGGGAATCGAACCCAGGTCCTCTGCAAGAGTAGTCAATGCTCTTAACCACTGAGCCATCTCTCCAGCCCCCCCCACTTTGTTTTTTGAGATAGGCAGCACAGCAAGCACTCCATCCACTGAGCCATCTCTCCAGCTCCCTCAGCTAACATTTTTTGATTAGTTATTTTCACCTATAATTCCAGGGGCAATTCAAAGATCTACAGACTTCCAATATCTTTCTTAAAAGTAAGGAAAGAAGCCAGGTGTGGTGGCGTACGCCTTTAATCCCAGCACTCTGGAGGCAGAGGCAGGCGGATCTCTGTGAGTTCAAGGCCAGCCTAGTCTACATAGTGAGTTCCAGGACAGCTGGGGCTATAGGGAGACCCTGTCTCAAAAAGACAAAAAACAAAACAACAACAACAAAAAAGTAAGGAAAGGACAGCATAGTGGCACATGCTTTTAATCTTAGCACTTGGGAGGCAGAGGCAGGGGGATCTCTGTTAGTTCAAGGTTTCAAAATCAGCCTGGTCTACATAGTGAGTTCCAGGCCAGTTGAGGCTACATAGTGAAACCCTGTCTCAAAAACAAAGAAGGCAATAACAGCAGCAGCAACAACAAAAATTCAAGGTAGGAATATGGAGACTTTACTTCTAGGTATTGAGATCACACTTCTAAAGCTTGTTCAAGCTGCCCTCTAAATGATCACATTTTTCCAGAAATGGTGGGATTATGATGCAACTGGACCCATGTGTTTGCTCCTAGCAGAGGGCTGCAGGCCACAGGCATGTGAACCAAGAAACAGAATCCTCCTTCAGTTTTATTTCCCCAAAGGAAAAATGAGATGTCTCAATAAAACTTCAAATGCTGACTACTACTATCACACCTCCCCAAGTCCCAAATTAATTAACTAATTTATTATCTTTAGAGAATTCTATTTCTCATAGTTTGGCAAAGTAAGCTGAACCCTGAACTCGTTCCTTTCTTCTCCTTCCCTTGGCTTGCCTACTGTCACGTGTGGTTACAGGTCTGATTTATCACAAGTCCACCCCAGTCCCGAAATTGGCTTGAGATGACTTCCTGAATGTGGTCTCATCTTGTCAGCTCCAGAGCCAAGTGAGGGATCCAATATGAGAGATGACTCTGTGCAGGTTCCTCACAATTCTTCCAGGCCTATTATTCTTAACCTTTGATGATTCCTCCTCCTGTTTCATTTTATTAAATTCTACTAAGAAAGACATGAAAAAAATCTAAAAGAAAAGTTGGCCGAGTCTACCTGGTGCTTTATTCACAGGTCGTATCTGGGAGGTAAGCCCACATTATCTGTTTTTCAAAATCTGACTAGCTTTCCCAAAATATCTTTCTCTTGAAAAGGCTACATGCTTTTGAGGCAATTTTATCATTAATAATTCTTATTCAGTGAGACACTAACTTAGAACAGCCCCAGAAAAACTGCTCAGTTAGTCATTTATTGAATAGGATGACAATTTAACAACTTAAAGATACTAGAACCAATATTAGCATGTGCTACAGCTAGGCATTGTTACACTGGTCTCTGCACTTTGAGCATTTCAAATATTTCAATTTTTTAAATAACAACAGATACTACAGAGGAGTAATTTTCTATTACCCAAAAATCCAGATCCATAGAAGGAAGTGTTCACAATGATTCTGTGTCATTTTAATAACAGCAAAACTTTGCAAACTATTCCATAAATCCATCAAAAGGAAGATAGCTAAACAAAATGCAATCTATTCATATAATAGAACCTGGTCTGTAGTTAAGATAAATGAGCCAGCTGTGTATGCAGCGGAACAGGTGCTACTGCTGAAGAGGACAGGAGCAAGTTTCACAACAGTACTGCAGCGATACTGCAGCACTATACCTAGACCAAGCGCATCCTCCTCCCCCCTCCCCCTCTCTCCCTCCCTCACACATAGCCCACACTGGCTTCAAACTTGCACTCTTCTGCTTCAGCCTCCTGAGTGCTGGAAGCATACACCGCTATGCCGGGATAGGACGTTTCTCTTGGTTAGTTCTCTACCTTGCCTGCCACTCCAGCAGTTAAACTGCTTTGGGGCCTGCCCTCTCCCAGTCCTGGAGCACACTCACTTTACTAAGACACATCTATCTGCCTTTGATCACCCAATCACTACTGCTTGGAATATTTGTATCAGCATCTTCTTCAGGAAGTTCAATGATTCCTTTCTTTCAATAGCCCAACTGAGGCTGGGATAAAAAGTCCTATTGCTCCCTCTTATGTAGACATGAATCAATATTATATTGTAATGGGCTATTAACTTACCTGGTCCTTATTCTAAATTGAATTCTGCTGGTCGTGATCATGCACACCTTTAATTCCAGCACTCGGGAGGCAGAGGCAGGAGGATCGCTGTGATTTCAAGGCCAGCCTGGTCTACATAGCAAGTTCTAGGCCAGCCAGAACCACATAGTGAGACTCTCTCAAATAATAATAACTGAATTCTTCAAGGGCTGAGTCTATATTAAGCACATCTGTGTCCCAAACTCCTAACACAGACAATAGCATATAGTACAAACTGGAAATGTCTGGTTGAAAGTAAATGACTTTATGTACCTTTTCTTGAAGGGATGGCAGAAGGTGTGCCTTGGTGTGGCTGCGGTATCTGTCAGAGCTGGAGATGGCAGGGGAAAAAAAAGGCAGAGGCTGAGAATACTTAACTCCAGGACCAGGAAGAACAAAATAGAACTGCATGGTTCAAAAATCCCCCTACCCTGTTGGCATGCTGTCAAACCCTTGTTCTTTCCCCTCCAGGCTCCTTATCCTTCTCCCAGGACAAAGCCTCACTCACCGGGTGTCTGTGCCTCAGGTCTTGGTGAAGAACACTGGAAGCAGAGGCCCCAGTTAGAGAAATGACTGTCCCCATGGCAAGAAAGAGATGTGGCTAGAGCAGACAGGGGCCAGCACTGATGAGTGGGGACTAGTTTGGAGGGTAGGGGCACTGTGCCTAGGTTGGCAGAGGAAGAGGGTAGATTTCTGGGGGCGGTCATTTGTGACTGGAAGGGGGTTAGGGACTGGTGACTGGTCTCTAGATACAGTCGGGGAGGGGTTCACAGTGTCTGGATATCTGAGTCCCTTGGTCTTTCATCTGTTTTTCCTTGGTGGGAGCAGGGCTTGTGTGGGAATGAGCGATAAACAGGGCCTCATTTGTAAGTTCTGTGCTGATCCGGGTTAGGAATTCCTCAGAACAGGATATTGAGACCTTATGGAAAGGAAAAATCAGAAAAACTAGCCTGGAAACTCCCAAGCATCTACACCGCCCAGTTTTGGAGTCACTGGTTGCAGGCTCTGTGGGCTGTTGAATCTGGTATAGGAAAGTGGAGGAGTGAGATTTGGCTGGAAGAGAGAGCAGTCCACGGGGCCTCAGGGTTAAAGAGCAAGGCTGCTGGGCATGGTGGCGCACGCCTTTAATTCCATCTCTGTGACTTCAAGGCCAGCCTGGTCTACATAGTGAGTTCCAGGACAGCTGGAGCTACAGGGAGACCCTGTCTCAAAAAGACAAAAAAAGAGCCAGGCTGTCTCAATTTGTAGTTCACACCCAGATGGGCACCCCTGCCTAGGAGACATTCCATTCACACTGGCATCTCGGTCACCCTCCAGTGCTCACCGGCCCTCTTCCACTCAAGGAAGCTGCAGCTTGGGATGGCCAGCCGCCCTTTTTTTCCTCATTCCTGTCAGGTGTGGATGCCATACCTCCTCTGGAAGTCAAAGTTCGTGTTAGACTGAGAAGCCAAGCAGCCCCCTTCCCTTAGACCCCCATTTCAGGCCATTCCCCAAGCCCAGATGCAGTCCATGCCTTTGGATAAAACACCCCACTGCTTCAGCTCTCTCCCTGAAGAGGGCTGCTAGTTTTTCAACAATTTGGGGGAGGGGCTCTCGTGATAACTGTTAGGGTTCCAAACAGCAGCAGTTTTCCCCCTCCCCAACAGGGACCTCACCTTGACCTTTGGAGTCAAGGGAAACAAACTCTGCTGAGAAGCAGCCTGCCTCTCCTCTGATCTCCAAAGATAGGATAAGCAGATTCTACCTGTTAACCAGAGATTTTAGAAGCTGTTTATCACAACAAGCTTTTCTCTTATCTTAAGAGAGAAAAAGTAAACACTTCCAGACCCTAATCCCACCTGGCAGACTGAAGGGAGCTTCCCACTGCTTGATTTATCCCCAATACTCCCCGTCTTCTGCACCCTGAGCCCCCATATATAAAGTCCCAGCTCACAACCCGTGGGCCGACATCTTTCTTTTCCCTGACATCCCATCCCATCCTCCCCTCCCCTCCCCTTCCCATCTTTCCCTTCCCTGAGGGAAAGGTGCCCCATGCAAAATAAATCTGTATCCCAGGGCTGAGAATTCCATCTGTGCCTCGGTGCCTCCTCCATCCGCTCGTGCTCTCCACCACCCGCTCGCTCTCTCCAACATTCCCATCTATCAATAACGTCTTCCCCAATTGCCCCCAGAGCTCTTCTTTCTTCTTCCCTGCCAAAGCCCTTCCTAAGCCAAGGCAGCCAGCCAACTTGTTGCTCTGGACCTGGGTGACAGATTGAAATCTTGGGTTACTCGGCAGGAGGGGAGACGAAGAGGTCTAAAGGGGACTCTATCATGGGCCTCAGGGGATGGGAAGTCGGGAGTTGGGGAGAAAGGTTGGAAGAGGGGAGAGTCAGGCAGGCGCTGCTCTGGGTTGCTAAAAAGACCTAAATGTTTCCGGAGGTTCTACACCCTGTTGCTAGGAGACTAGAGGTTCTAGAATTAAAGAGGAGAGTGATTGCTGGCGTGCCTCCTTTGCTCCTCCATCCTCCTAGGAGGCGGTGACCCCAGGCTTCCGAGATGGAGACCTTTGGGAGATGATGTAGAGGGGGAACCTGGGCTCTAATCCTCCCACCCCCAGGGTGGCGCTAGAAGCGAGCAGCAGCCACCCGAACCTCTCTAGCCGCCTCTTCCCCCGCGGAGCAGGGAGAGCTCTAGAAGCCGGAGCCTCAGCCCGGGAAGAAGATGTGGGCTGTACTAAGTTACCTTGGCTCTCGGGGAGGCGCAGGCTCAGCAGGGCGGACTCTTACTGCCTCATCTTTGTCTCCGGGAGTTTACACCCTCAGTCAGAAGTAAAGTACAGATTTTCTTTTAGGGCTCCTCTTCTGCGCCCCCTTTTCAGGTCGTCCTTCTGCTGCTCGCTCCCTCTCCTCCCTAAGTGCGTTGGTACAAGCCGATGCAAAGGGGCGGAGGCAGGAAAAGGAAGCGGGCAGGTCTTAAGGGGGCTGCAGCCAGGGTTTATTTTATTTATTTATTTATGTTTAAAAGCCGTCTTCGCCTTCCTCCAGTTGTTTTTACCGCACGGGCAGAAGACTAGGCCCCGGGAAGCCGCCCTCCGCTGGAGCAGCAGGGGTCTCCGCTGCAGGCCGCAGCACCTGCCCACCCGCAGGCCAGGTGTGCGCCCGCGCCAAGCTGTAGCATCGGGGGCGGGCGGGCGGAGCTGGGCCCTGAGCTCAGGCCGAGCGGCCGATGCCCCAGGCTGAAGGGTGAGGCGAAGAGGTGGGACTGGGTCCCTGCAGGGCCGGGGCGACTGGGGGGGCGTCGCCGCGATGCCGGAGGAAAATATCTTCCTGTTCGTGCCTAACCTCATCGGTGAGTGCTGCCTGCAGCCCCGGGACTAACCAGGGGGCGAGGGACTTGGGTAGGCCCTCCCATCACGCTTCCTGTCTCTCCTGTCCCTTCCCAAGGTTATGCCCGGATTGTCTTCGCCATCATTTCCTTCTACTTCATGCCCCACTGCCCCTTCACGGCCTCCTTTTTCTATCTGCTCAGCGGGCTTCTGGACGCTTTCGATGGACACGCTGCCCGAGCCCTTAATCAAGGTGACGACACCTCCCTACCATCTCTCTGGAGGCCCAGCATGCTCTTGGCCTCTCCCTGCTTTCTCGGAACCTGAATCGGAGGGCTCTTTCATCCCTTGCTATAAGAAAACAAAACCGAATAGCCTGGGATTGTAGCACGGGGTTTTAAGCTTGCTCTTGCAAGGGATTCACTGCATGTGAATCCCAGGGTCTGGAAGAGCAGGACTGGACACTGCAGTGGGAAGGCTAGCCAACCCCCTGGATAAAATTCCACTCAAGTCGGGCGTGGTGCGGCAAACCCACAATCCCAGCGTGAAAGGCTGAGGCAGAAAGATTGCTCCAGGTCAGAGGACAGCTTAGGTTGCGTATCAAATACCGGGTGAGCCAGGGCTGCACAGCAAGACTCGGAAAATAAGAGTAAATAATAAAATTCCATTCAACAAGTGTTTACTGTGTGCTGGGCACAGACAACAGCGACTCAAGAATACAATTGGAGCTGGATGGAGGAAGCCGTGGTGTCTAGAGAGCTAATTCATTAATGAGTTCCCAGACGCTCCTCTAGAACTTCTAAGAAGTCAGGGCTGCTTGCCCTTGGTTCTGGGGTATAGGAGTTGAAGATGGAGCTTTCCTATCCTCAGCATCATCCTGCCACGCCTGGTTCTGCTCATTCCTTGTCATGGTAACCCTTGTCCAGTGGCCTCACACTCCACTGATGGCAGCTTGTTTTCCTCCTCAGGCAGGGGTGGTAGACATTTTCAACCTTTTTCAGATTCCGCCTCAGAGTAATAGACCCAATATGGGCACTTGTCATTGAACGACTGCACTCAACAGTCCCTTTCCACCTAATTTTTCAGGAACCCGGTTTGGGGCCATGCTGGACATGCTGACGGATCGCTGCGCTACCATGTGTCTCTTGGTCAACCTGGCTCTGCTATACCCTCGAGCCACCCTTCTCTTCCAGCTCAGCATGAGCTTGGATGTGGCCAGTCACTGGCTGCACCTGCACAGGTCTGCTTCAGTGCTGGGGTGCTGCTCAACTGAGGATGTTGCAACGAGGGGGAGGGCTGGCTCCAGGCTGTTGGGAGGTGTCTTTTTTTTTTTTTTTTTTTGGTCTCACTTTGTAGATCAAGGCTGGCTTGGAACTTCCTCTGTTCAGACAGGTCTCAAATTCATGCTTCCTGTCTTAGCATACTCCTAGCAGAGGTCTCTTTTAACTTTACTTTCTTAAGGACCCCAAGTCAGCCCTGTGTCTCTGAATGTGCTTGTCACATTTACAGGTGAATTAAACAGTTTCTAGCACAGGTCTGGCTGAATATGTTAGGATTCCAAATGAGGGAAGAAGCCCTGTGGGCTTTGGGGTAGGGCATTTGAATTCTCCCCCTGCCCCACCTATGGCTTTGAGCAAGATATACACTTCTGTTTCACACCAGTCTCCCTGTACAGTAGGGGCAATGCAGTACCCACCACTGATACCCAGTAACCCCTTAGGGTTGATGAGAGGATTAGATGGATGTTGTGACAACGAAAGCTCATTAATTTCCATGATTTTCTCCCCAAGTTCTGTGGTTCGAGGCAGTGAGAGTCATAAGATGATTGACCTGTCTGGGAATCCCGTGCTTCAGATCTACTACACCTCTAGGGTGAGCACTTCCTGCCCTTCCCCTCCTTGCTCAGCAGATGGGAAATCCTAGGCTGAACCTTAGTCAGGACAGAAAGTGGTCACAGCCATCTGGACAGGAGGGGTCCTTGGGCCTGAAGCATGATGGAGAAGCGGTGGGAAGGCCTGTGTGCATCCTCCCAGCAGTAGTGGGAATAAGGCTCCCTGGGTAATGGGAGGAACTTTGGCTGGAGAGTGAGAGAAGCTAAGAAGTATGCAGTGTGTGGATTTTAACTTGTGGCGTGGCAGCTGAGGAACACCACCCTGCTAGCGGCAGAGGTCCTTGTGAGCTATGGGCGGTACACAGCCCTGCCCCTGAGGCAGCCTTTGTGTTGTATGCAGCCTGCTCTGTTCACCCTCTGTGCTGGGAATGAGCTCTTCTACTGCCTCCTGTACCTGTTCAATTTCTCCGAGGGACCACTAGGTAGGAAAAGAAAGGGTGTGTGGGGAGAGGGGTTCCATCCTGCCCTTCCCCGGGGAAAGGTCTCAGACATCGCACCCCTAATAGAGGTAATAGACCTGTTCCCATTCTTTCTGCCTCCCCATAGTTGGCTCTGTGGGGCTTTTCCGAATGGGCCTCTGGATCACAGCCCCGATTGCCTTGCTCAAGTCTATCATCAGTGTCATCCACCTCGTCACAGCTGCACGCAACATGGCTGCCCTGGATGCAGCAGATCGTGCCAAGAAGAAGTGATCCTCTCCAGACCCCAGCTGCCAGCTGCCACCTGCCCTGGGTGTCTCATTGTGCTACATGGCTCCTCTCCTCCTAGGAGGCCCCAGTATCTTATCTTTTTCATGTGTTCTCCAACCTTGTTAGGATGGGGGTCTGCCTCTGTCAGTATTGTCTCATCTCTCTAATCCTGAGGACCAGACCTACATCTTAGACCTCAAGGACCTGGCACTGCAAAGCAGGAAAGGGTGCTCAGAGGCCCCACCTATCTAGCTGGTGCTCCAGGAGGCCTGTCTGAGAACTGAGCGTTGCCACACATCCTGCTGGCTCAGCCCTGGCCTGAGATTTTAGGGACACATGAGGGAGGGTAATGTGTAGGTGCCAGTGTTCCCAAAGGCCAGGGGAGTCAGACCCCTACCCTTGACCAGAGGAAGCCTGGGCAACAGACCTGGGAGGGAAGGGGCCAGCTAGATCCTTCCCTATGGAAGTCTCCTCTATCCTGTCACCTCTAGCTCTGGAAGCTTCTACAATAAAGGAGGGCGCTTCACTCTTCTTGGACTCTGTTTACTTTGAGACATTCTTAGATGCAGGCCTAGGGTTAAAGAGAGCTGGAAAAAAAGCAAGGTCCACTTGGATACTTTTTCTGCGGTAGCTGGCTGGCTCCCCAGTCATTCCACAGCCACTAGAGAGAGGCCATGTCTTCTCTTCGAGTCATGAGCATCCTCCGCCACCTGCTTTATGCCCCTGGCTGGCCACTTTCATTTTTACCCTTGATATTTTCTGTCCCCACTAGAATGTAAATTCCATGAGAGCAGACATTTCTCCTTCCTGTCTCTTTGCCTAGAGTGAAAACAAGCCTGGCATATGGTAACTGCGTAATAAATAGTCCTGAAAAGATGAGTTGTCTTGGACCGTGGTCCTTAGACCACCCATAGCATATTTCTTTGCATTCTTTTGTTTTTTGTTTTTTAAAAAGGCAAGATCTTGCTTGCTGGCCTAGAACTTCTGATCTCCTGCTTCAGCCTTCAAATGCTGGTGTACAGGCATACATATACATTAACAAGATAAATTTCTTTAGTGTTTTGAAATGGCCTTATGTAACCCACACTGATCTCAAACTCCTAATCTTTCTGTCTTTGCCTCATGACTGCTGGGATTACAGGTGTACAGCACCATGTCCACCCAGTTTTAATTGGTTTTTTTTGTGTGTGTTTTGAGACATGGTCTCCCTGTAGTCCCAGCTGGCCTGGAACTGCTGTGTAAACCAGGCAGGCCTTGATCTCACAGAGATCTGCCTGCTTCTGCCTCTCAAGTGCTGGGACTAAAGGTGTGCGCCACCATGCCTGGCCAGCGTACTTTCTTCTTAAACTGTATTGAGCTTGCAGTATGCTAGATCCCACTCTGTGTAGGGTTGTTAGCAGACATTACTCCTCCATCCTTAAAATAGCTTGGCTACGTCACTCAACTTATGTCCAGGATTCCTGACAATCATATGTGATTTTTGGGTTTTGGGAGACTGGGTTAACTTACTATGTAGCCCAGACTGGCCTTAAACTCAGTTTGCTTCAGCCTCTTGAATGCTGAGTATGCACCACTACGCCTAGATATTATATATGTTAGATAGGTGGTAGGAACTGAGGAGGGAAGAGTTACTGCTCTTAGATGAGCAAACAGCCTCAAAGGCGGGGTCCAGAGAGTACCTGGGCAATTAAGATATGAAATAGATCTCTATCCATGTGGCTGGAACACTAAGTGGTGGGGTGTAGGGAGCTGCTGAGAGTTGAGGCATAGCCAGCTGGGCAGCCTAAGGAGCCCAGTAGGACAGTAGGCCTTTTTATTTCCCTTTAAAATCTCACTTTGGCCGGGCATGGTGGTACGCGCCTTTAATCCCAGCACTTGGGAGGCAGAGGCAGGTGGATCTCTGTGAGTTCAAGGCCAGCCTGGTCTACATAGTGAGTTCCAGGACAGCTGGGGCTACAGGGAGACCCTGTCTCAAAAAGACCAAAAAAAAAAATCTCACTTTATATATGAGCTGCCACTTCTCTAAGTGCTTTTTCCCTAAATTATCTCACTTCATCTCCCAACCATGCTTCTTTGTGTATGCAATGGCTATCCTGTTTTTTTAAGTAGTGGGTTTTTAAAAAATATGTGTATTGAATTTATTGCCTGTGCGTACCTGTGTTGTGCAATGACTGCAGAGGTCAGAAAAGGGCGTCAGATCCTCTGGAACAGGAGTTACTGATGGTTGTTAGCCACCAGGTAGGTGCTGGAATTCGAACCAGGGTCCCCTGCAAGTGCAGCCAGTGCTCTTAACTGCTAAGAGATGGCTATCCTGTTAATGTATTGATCCTCCAGAGCCTGTCCTCTGTGTTTTGACCACACGAAACAGTTCCATATCAGCAGCAGATTCCTAATGCATGGGACACCCTTTGTTCCTGATGTCAGGTCCTGCTACAGCCAAATGCTGCTAGTAATTCATCCAGCTTCTTTTTGGAGGCACATGTAGGATGGGCCTTGAAGGGCAGTGGCAGACACATTGGTGCTTGAGGAAGATTTATGTGTATAAGTGTTTTGCCTATGAGTGAGAGCACTACATGTGTGTAATGCACATGGAGGCCAGAAGAGGGTGTCAGGTCCCCGGAACTGGAGTTACAGAGAGTTGTTAGCCACCATGTGGATGCTGAGAACTGAAACTGGGTCCTCTGCAAGAGCAGCCAGTGCTCTTAACCACTGAGCTTTCTCTCCCGCCCTCTTGAGGAAGATTTTAACCTACATAAAGTTGAGCACAATTCAGATGGTCCAGCCTCCCCCTGCTTGGTTTACTTCAGTGGAGGTGAGAGATGGGATAAGGTGTTCATCCCAAGGACTCATCTGAAACTAACCGTACCAGCTAAATGGGTCCTCTGAGTACTGAAATAGCCTCAAAGCAGGGAACCCTTTGGTGTCCTGCTTCCCACATCCCTTACTGGCTCTGGGGCTCTGGCTGTAACATCACAGCCTCTTTATACTGTTAAGCTCTGCATGATTTTCACAGAAGAGTGGGGGGAAATTGTGAACACTTTCTACCCAAAATGAATGCTGCACCTGAGGTCCTGCACCTGAGGGCTAACTCAGCATGGAAGCATGTGTGCGGGAGGATGCCCCTTAAGGGTAAGGCCCAAGTTAGTGCAGTAACTTTAGCCTTTGGTTTCCCATCCATCAGCTGGACTGAACTCAGGAGGACTGTAGAGCACAGGACCTTTGACCTGGAGGTGGGGAGTGCGGACTGTCTGGAATTTGGATCTGGAGTCATATTGTATATGTGCAGTTTGGTCAGCCCTCTGTCTTAAGAGATTCTCCAGGGTTTTGACCAATCAGATTGAAAATATTTGGAAAAGAAATCGCATCTCTCCAGGTGTGGTTGGCACATGCCTTTAGTCCTAGCACTTGAGAGGCAGAGGCTGGTGGATCTCTTGAGTTCAAGGCCAGTCTGCTCTATACAGTTCAGGCCAGCTGGGGCTACAGGGAGACCCTCTTTCAAAAAGACAAAAATGTACAGACTTTTCTTCTTGTCATTATTTCCTAAATGATACAGTATAGTATACCATTTCCATAGCAGCTGCATTGTATTAGGCATTTTAGGTAACACAGACATGATCTGAAGTAGGAGGAGGTGTGTGGGGTATATGCAAATACTACACCATTTTTTTTATGAGCACACACAGGTTTTAGGTTCTATGGGGGATTCAGGAACCAATCCCAGACAGATACATAGGGAGATTGTACTAACTTCCTGAAGTTCAGACTGAGTGAATAATTCCCATGCAAGACACTTCAGTGGTTCACTCCACACTGTGGTTGTGCCTTGGAGAGGGCAGGAGATGGGCACCCCAAGTCAACTGTTCCCTTGAGCACTCTCAAGTCATACAGTAATAGGAAGTTTCTAAGGCATGGTGGTGCAGGCCTGTAACCCCAGCACTCAGGAGGCAGAGGCAGGAGGATTGTAGTTTGGGAGGACAGCCTGGACTACTTGAGACCCTGTCCTCCACCCCCTAAATTTATCTTAGTAGAGGCTCCTTAAACTAGTGACTTTGGTATTCAGCCAAAGAAAAGCCATCCAAGCTATGTAGAACTTCAGGGATCATACTGTGGGTAATTTGTGGGTAAATTTGGTAACTGACTTGGGATCTGCCTTGTGTGTAAGCAGGGACTTCACTGTATTTCCTATCACCAAGGTATACCTGTCTCCCTACCTTGCTATCTCTGCTGGGCCCACCTTCAGGGATACAATTGGGAGTTAGATCCAACAATCCCATGGAGCGCATGCAATCATCAGACCAGGCTAGGTTAACAACCCCCACCCCAAGTCTCAGTTGCTTCATACAGCAAACACATTTCTTGTTCCTGCTGTCTGCCTATAATGATTTATATGAGCCTCTCCTCAAAGTATTTTCCGTCTGGGATGCAGGCTGATGGGAAATATTACTGGTCACCCTTTTACATGGAAAAGTATAGAGATTGTCGTTTCCCCTGCATTTCATTGGCTAGAATGAGTCACATGGGCAAACTAATGGGTACCATGCATCCATGTGGAGACATGACGTCATCAGCTGGAAATGAATCAAGAGGTCAGGTGAAGGGCAAGGCTGGAGAAATGAATTTTGAAACCACTGTTACCGTCGAGTGCCATGGGAGCGGCTAAGAACGTAGGTAGGAGAAAAGAGTTTAGTGGGACCTGCCACTGAGGGCTGTGTGAGCGAGTGCTGGTCAAAGAAGCCAAGGGAACAGCCATGAGGCAGAAAAAAACTACAGTATATGGTCATGAGAGTCCAGTGTAGAAAGAGGTCACTCATACTAAATGACAGGCTAGGGCAGACAAAAGCAGATGGAGTTTCATGAACAGCACTGATGAGCCTATTGCAACCATTTCCACAAAGAGGAATCAGATTCTAACTGGGACAGTGAAGTACTAACGACCACAGAGAAACTCTGGAGAAAGCTCTCAGGGAAGGAAAAAGGAGATGTAGGACAGGAAGGCATGCAGGACTCAGTATTTTTGGGTTTTGTGAGGGGCAGTATGCATGGTGCACTTGTGTGTGGCGGTCAGAGGAGGACATCAAATGTCCTGCTCTATTGCACTCTACCTATTCCCTTGAGGCGGGGTCTCTCACTATCTAAGAGTTCAGGTTTTCTGGCGAGGTTGGCTGGCCAGCAAGCCCCAGCAACCCTCCTGTCTCCATTCACAACAGGTTTATAGCAGTACTGCTATGTATGCCTTTTTACATGGGTGCTTGGGATCCAAACTCAGGTCCTTAAGCTCTTAACAGGAAATGTGTTTAACCTGTTTATGTAGCATAGCGTAGAACAAGTTCAAGGATTGATGACAAGGGCCTAAGAGAGGAAGAAGCTGCTAGTGCAGAAGGGACAAGAGATGTGCTAGGAGTCTGCTCTCAGGAAAGGCTGGGTGGGACCTGGGGCCCACGAGGAGAGTCCTTGGTGGGCACAGTAGTGACGACAGAGTCCAGATACCCACAATTTGGTGATCTGCTGCTGGAAAGGAGAGAGCCTTCCTGCCCAATTTGCTTCTATTTTTTCAAAGAGGTGAGAAAAAGTGGGCAGGGGAGGAGGAGGGTAAGAAGAGAGGAGGTGTGAATAGTTCTGAAGGGAGGGGATCTCAAATAAGACAGAGACGCACAGTCAGAGGAAAGAGGTCTCCCTGGTTTGTGGCTGGAATCTAACATGAGCCTGGTCACATGCTGGGGTGTCCCCCAGCAATAAGCAACTGGTCTGGGGTCACACGGAAGGAAGGAGGGAGTTGGTTTAAGGGGGGACATGCAGCTGGTGGCACATGCCAGTGATCTGAGTGCCATGGATGCTGAGGCAGGAGGATTGTGAATTCCAAGATCAGACCCTATCTTTAAAGAAGAAAAAGGGAGGCTGGAGAGATTGCTCAGCAGTTAAGGGCACTGGTTGCTCTTGCAGAGGACCTGGGATCAATTCCCAGTACTCACATGGTGGCTAACCACCATCCATAACTCCATTTCCAGAGGATCTGACACCCTCTTCTGACTTCCATGGGCATCGGGTGCACCTATATACATGCAGGCAATACACTTATATGTATAAAATTAAAAATATAAGGGCCAGAAGTTCCAGGAAGAGCTGAGGAACACATCCATATAGTCCTGAGAGGCTCCAGTTGTGACTGCTTATCTGGCTTCTAGAACTTCTTGCTTGCCGACCTACAGGAACAAACATGTGACTGCTTG